CAATCCAAGACGAAGCTCGATCTGGGAACATTGACGCTGTCGGAACTTTTCCCGAAAAACTGAGAGAAATTATCTATGAAGGTGGTTATTTTGACGAACATGTTTATAATTGCGATGAAACTGGTTTATTTTGGAAGCTGTTACCGTCGAAGTCGCAAGCAACAGCAAGCGGCCCACATAATATCAGACCCAAACAAAATAATCAACGCAATGTTTACAGCAAACATAATCATGATTTTATTCGAATACTGCCTGACACATGTGATGATACATCAATTAACTAAACCGAGGGTTTATATGTGCTTTTTATATGTTTTTCAATGCACGACCTCCCTCTTTCATGACGTCCCTCGGTAAGTCGCGGTCCTCGATAAGTCGCGGTTTTTGCTTGGATCCCAACACCCGCGACTTAGCGAGGGGCCACTGTATAATGTTATCCATGGATGTGACTGGTTCATCATTATTTTTTGTACAAATAGTCAGTTTTAGTGCCCATGTCACTGTCAGTTCATATGACGTTATCAAGATATGTTGAAATTAATAAATCAATAATGAGAACATTTTGTTTCTACAGTTGCATTTTGGCATTATTGATCTGTACCTTGTGGGTAAGGCTATGATCACCTTAACATTGTCAGCTTGATGGCATTGACGGGTATTCACCGCTGCTATTGTGATCATCGGTGTCTGACTTTTTGGTGTAAAATACACAAATTTCCAGAGGTCAGGGCTTGCTATTTCATCGCTGTCTCGTCTGCATTTGAATCATTTTTGCTTCAACACTTTTCTTTCCAATGCGACTTAATTTCACTTGATTTTTGGGTAATTAGTGTCACCTACGTTTTTGTGGTAAAAACGTAAATAACCACAGTGCAGCAAATCGAGATAGATATTCCCGATGTATGCTACGTTTGTTATTTGTGAGACTTGTTTTGTCACATTGTTGCCTTTGTTTTTGGAGTTAGAGGCTCTTCACCCTTGAAAGACTTGGTAACTTCTTGCAGGCTTACGTTTTTATCACTGTCTTTGTATGGCTAACAAAAGCGGGATTACCTTTCGTTCAATACATGTTATTGTTTTAAATTTGTGCAAGACGAGACTGATGAGACTTTGTTTAAAACAAAGCAATAAGCATCACATGCGAGTGACCAAGTATCGCGTACAAAGGGCAAGCATCACTGTAGAGTCTCCAAGCGTCACGGTACCGTGGCACATTCTCATAATAACCATGTATTTCTCCTTGCTTATTAAATCTGTGTTGTTCTTTCAACAGTTGACAAAAATGGTGATGTGTGTATTTCCATCCTGCATGAACCAGGAGAAGATAAATATGGCTATGAGAGAGCTTCAGAACGATGGGTACCAGTACACACAGTAGAAACAATTTTACTTAGTGTTATATCAATGTTAGCTGATCCTAATGATGAATCACCTGCCAATGTTGATGCTGCTGTAAGTACATCATATTTCAAGCATTGGCTGTCTCCTTGAATAGCCTTACCTGACTGCCTCTAATCAGACTCTCTGATTTATGTCTCTTCACACTGATTTATCCTTCTTCACTCTGATTTGTTCCTCTCCATTCTTGTTTATCCTATTTCCAGTGTTCTCCCAAGGAATTTAAACCACTGTGGCGGACTAACTTGCATATAATTTGCATATCATTTACATAATGATAGAGATTGACCAAAGCACATTTACACCCACACAACAAACAAAAATACTTTCAAAAACTTCATAGTGTTATAAACACTGTTCTTTTGGCACTTTTATAATGTTAATGAGCTCAGTCACAGAGTCAAAATATTACGTTTCACAATTTAAATTGTACAAATAAATCGTAAAGGTTAAACGAAATGCATTTGAAATGTTTCAGCCAGGAATATTTTCTCGACTTCCATGATCTTATTTACTACAAAAACATTCTCCTTCAAAAAATTGCTGTTCATTATTCGTACCATCAGCTTCCACAATGTTTACCGGTACATTTACAGTAATGAACGAAAAAATAAAACTTTCAAACAGTCATCAAAGTCACGACGTGACATAACTCACTTCGCGATGTTATACACCGGTTATACCAATAATTCCTCTTACTCAGACATGCCATGCAAAAAATTTTACTTGTTTTTTCATATGAAATTAACGTAAAATTTGACTTAGTTTTATCGGGAGTAACAGTTCACAGGATGAACAATGAAAAAAGCACTGTGACAGTCTTACTAATCACAGTGGTGGCTCAAGATCACGGTGGCGGGCAAAGAAAGCTGCGTGGTGGCCCGCACGCAAATTGAATGCTGGGGAGAACACTGCTATTTCATATACAAAGCATTAATCTTGATCCAGTCTCAGACTTTTATTAGTCTGTGTTCGAACAAAGTTCAAAAATGGGGCCTTTGTGCATCGAAAGTCATATTTCAGATCCCTCTGTGTCGAATCCATTCATTATTTGTATGCGTCTAGTATTTTATGTGGGACATATGCACATGCAATAGTTTTGCTACATACATTATACATATGAGAATACATACATGTGCAAGACAATTTGTTTTACAATTTAATCAAAGGTGGCTAACTGATGGCCATCTTACTTTTTGGCCATATTTCTATATTTTATATATACAAGACTTCATTAATATTTTTTAACATTTAGTACATACATTACAAGATAGGATAAAAAATTGCCGACTGGCAGCCATATTGTTATAGAAAAAGCATCGTTGACATGGTTTTTTGTTTTTCTCCATACATGTCCATGACCGTTTCACAGTCGGATCAAAGATGGTTGACTGGCAGCCTTTTTTTTTTTTGCCATAATACTGGTATATCTTTCACCTATGTATCATTTTCATTGATATTTAGCACATATGTCATAAATGAATAAATGACTCTTCATTTTGTGATTTGATTAAAGATGGCCGTCTGGCTTGTTGGGATACATGTGCATGATTTTATGATCGGATCTGGTAATTTTCTTTTTTGGCCATTCTATATCTATGATACCCATGTACAGTCTCATATTTTTGTCTCATTCAACATAATATTTTCCAAAGGTTGTATTAAATGTTGTCAGTTAAAAAATCTAAATTATTAATAAAAATAAAAATGTTTGTAGATAACTAGTCTGGTTGCAAATAAATTCCTGAATGATGAGATTTCCCCCATGAGATGCGTGACAGCTTGTACAACAGATTATGTCTGTGTGTAAGTAAATTGAACTCTTGCTACAAGTTGTATATTCTCTATTGATACTGGAGACATGCACTTTACTTAAATTTGGATACAAAAACTGCATAAACATGAGAAATATGAAGTTTGTGACTATATATTAAATTGAAAATTTAGTAGGTTAGTCTATTATTCACTCTCAAGTACTGACGATACACTACAAATTCAGAGTCATTTACCTGGTCACATGACCAGTGATTTTCATATCCAATTTGATTGCATATATTCTGCCTGCAGCAATACATGTCCATAACAATTCAATTTGTGACTAGATAAAAGACGAATTGCAGCCACCTTGCTTTTTTGCCATATTACCTTCTTCGACATGGAATAACATTTCCCCTAATTGCAACTGGGACTACGTCATTAACAATGACTTGTTTCTGTTTTACAGAAAGATTGGAGGGAAGACTACCACGGGGAATTTAAAAGGAAAGTACAGAGATGTGTGCGAAAAAGCCAAGAAACGGCATTTGATTAGTGCTGGTGAGTATTTATGTTCTAGGTAAATCATCACCAGCGTGAAATACAATTGATTGGAATTTAAAATGGCTGACTGACTTTTAAGTGAACCCATGCTTTGAGTTATGTAAATTTGGTATGCAAATTGTTTTTTAACAACTGTTGCCAATACAAACTGAACTATTTCATTGACAATCACTTGTTAAACCTTGGTTTTAATGTGACAGTTTTTTTAGCTCCGCTGTCGACTTTGTCGAGCGGAGCTTATCATATGAGTGATTGTCCGTCTCCGTCGTCCGTGTCAATGTTTTACTTTTTCGACTTCTTCTTGAAAACTACAAGCCTGAATGCTTTGATACTTGGTGTATATGTACCTTGGGTAGACCTCTCTTAGGTTTGTTCATTTCATGTTGATATCTTCAATTCTCTAATTTTGGTGAATATTTTTGTCATTTGTGGTAAAAAGTGATATTTTCGACTTCTTGTTAAAAACCGCAAGTCTGATTGCTTTGATATTACATATACAGGTACTACATGTGGACCTCTCTCAGATTTGTTCATTTTGTGATGATATTTTCAATTCTCTAATTTTGGTAAATATTTTTGTAATTTTTGGTAAAAAGTGATATTTTCGACTTCTTGTTAAAAACCAATAGTTCAATTGCTTTGATATTACATATATAGATACTACATGTAGACCTTTCTCAGATTTGTTCATTTTGTGATGATATCTTCAGTTCTCTAATTTTGGTGAATATTTTTGTCATTTTTGGTAAAAAGTGATATTTTCGACTTCTTGTTGAAATCTGTAAGTCCGATTGCTTTGATATTACATATATAGGTACTACATGTGGACCTCTCTCAGATTTGTTCATTTTGTGATGGTATCTTCAATTCTCTAATTTTGGTGAATATTTTTGTCATTTTTGGTAAAAAGTGATATTTTCGACTTCTTGTTAAAAACTGTAAGTCCGATTGCTTTGATACTATTCATATTGTTCATTTTCTAATGATGTCTTCAGTTCTTTAATTGAAATGTGCATTGCTAACAGCGGAGCTATCTCAGCCGATAGGCTGCTTGTTTTTCAATATATTAATCTTTTTAAATATACTTTGTTTTATCATTAGGGGCAACTGTGTCATGTTGATTTGTAACCTGATGTGGTGATCTGATTTTAAGATGCATGCCCTCTCCATACCTGCAGTGCTATGTTAAGTTGCTGCTCACAAAATCATACATAAATCTTTTCACTTTACACTGCAGGTCTGGGTAGTGGTTTAATATATCTATTTTTATTAGACTTTCCTATCCTCTGTTTTTTTTTGTTTTTTTTTGTTTTATTTGATTCATTGTAATTAGCATAGCATGAAATCTTTGTAAGTTCGAAATAAAAGATTCAGAAAATTTCAACAAAAAAAACATATAAAACATATTTATGAAGAAAAAAAAAACCTTCCTTTGTACTCCCAGGGTGCATTGCAATGCAGTCCAGTCACTTCCTCTATGCAAAGTAGCAATACTTATTACCTGATTAATAACAGCAGGAATGATTCCATAATATCCTTATTTGAGACAACAGCTCATCAACCCCAGTGTTCATTCATTGTAAATACCATTTTGTTTTTATCTGTTGACGACTTTGAATTAATAATTTTGTTTTGAGTATCTCTAATATCTTCGTTTTACATTTCTGAAAGTTTAATAAATTTGCAATTGAATAACTCGAAATAGATTGGAAGTTAGAATAATTTCTCCCATATAGTTTACTCTGCCTGAGTATAGAATCCAATGTTTCATTATATTTTAAGGGGAATTTTTATGTAATGATAGAATCAACAAATCATGTGGTTGCTTTCTCATCCTGAAGACTGGGGCTATAACTAAAGAAACCAATGCCAGTTTATTTTGTGTGTGTTTATTTTGTTTTCAAGTTTTATGTAGCTACGATATAGGTTGTGTACATTGCTAAGTCTATTATTATTCTAGTGTAATATTCTATGAAGAAAATAAAGATACAATAATAATATAACTTAAATATGATTGTATTGCATTTGTCCATTTTGAATCCTGTTTGGCTTCTGCATCTCCACGCAAATGTGCAGTGAGATGGTGGGTCTCCCTAGTGTGATTTCTTGTGTTATTAGTTTATACTTTGCCCATATCAACAAAGATGAATGGGAAATGTCTGTCGTAGTTGTACAGTAGTTGTAGTTGTGAATGTGTGTACAATAACTTTACTAATTCTATTCCAAACTGTATAAAATCTTCCCTTAGTTCAAACGTCAGATGTCCTGTGTGAAAATATCATGTAAAAATTGAGAAAGTAGTAGTCAAATTTGGACTTTCTATTTGAATGATTACTGGTGGTACACATTCAGAGGTCACAGATTCTAGAGGGAATATGCATTACTGTGTTTAATTAACCAAATCATTTATCTTGTAATCAATATCATTGGTAATGCAAATCCCATGGGAATACCAGTCTGGGTTTTCAATATCAACTCATCATAGAGAATTGTTGCACAGTCTAATTTGTGAACATGCCAATAAAATGCATAAACTATCTTAACAGAAAACAAGATGTCAGATGATCGATACAAGTACTCCTATGAATAACCTTTTGGATGCCAAACTTTGATCAAGATCTGAAGCCAATAGAGCATTGTCTGCTCAGTCCAAAGTTATCAAAACAATAATGCAAAAATACCTACCGGTAACAGGCAAGAAATTAAATCCACATTTTGAAAAGAAAATTGTACACATTTTATTTTTTCTTGAAAACACTTTGAATTCGTGTTTATTAAACTGATCACAATCAATTTGTTTGATAGTTTTATGTGAATTTTAAAAGGCTACAGTTATGACGAACAATGCACAAGTTATTTCGTTGTTGAAAAACAACAGTTTTACCCATAAATTAAATCCAATATAACTGAATTATGGGTAAAACTATTGTTTTGTCTTTTAAATTTATTGACTCCCGTGTGCGAAGCACAAAAGGGAGTGTTTGCAGTTACCTTGTCTGTATGTCTGTCTGTATGTATGTATGTCACTTTTTTTTGTTCCACCGTTATCTCAAGAACCACTAATCAAATTTTGGTGAAACTTGATACATAGATGCTCTGGGATAATGCGCAGAGTTAATTAGGTTTGGGTAAATATCTATGAATATTAATTACCTAATTTGCATGATAATTAGCTGATTTTTAGCTGTTCCACTAATATCTGAAGAACCACTCATTGGATTTTGATGAAACATGGCACATGGATGCTCTGAACTAGTGCGCAGATTTGATTAGTTTTGGGTAAAAATCTATGAATATTAATTACTTAATTTGAATGATAATTAACTGATTTAAAGCTGTTCCATGACTGTTCCACTGATATTTGAAGAATCACTCATTGGATTTTGATGAAACTTGACACATGGATGCTCTGAACCAATACGCAGATTTGATTAGATTTGGGTAAAAATCTATGAATATTAATTACCTAATTTGCATGACTGTTCCACTGAGAAGAACCACTCATTGGATTTCAATGAAACTTGGCACATGGATGCTCTGAACTAATGCGCAGATTTGATTAGTTTGGGTAAAAATCTGTTAATATTATTAATTACCTAATTTACATAATGATTA